TTGTATATTATCCCTGGGAAATAGCTTTCATTTCTTACTGTGGTTAATTTAGGTGTCCAAAACTGCGATATGTTTTCATAAGATGCCTTTGGGCCTATTCTGTTACTAATAAGAACTGGGTAATTGATTCAACCTGTCCCATTCAAAAGAAATGAAGAAGTGAACAAAAGAGTTTTTTGTGAAAAGAATAACAATTATACACGTTGTGCAATTGTTGTTGACATTCCTTAATATTTATTAGGGAACATTTAATATTAATGGATAAATAGAACGGACACATTAAAAAAAAAAAAAATAAAAGTTCAATTCAAACTTTACCAGTCCAGTAAATGAGCACCTAATTGTTTGCATGGGAACAACTAAATGTAGTTATTGAAGATAGGTGGGCTCCCCAGTAAGTAGTTTTCACCAATCTCGTTTTTCAGAGGTTCTGAGTCATTGACTTCCATTTGAAAGTGTTCCTAGTATTAAGGACCAGACAGAGGTCAGGAAACTTTCCTGTAAACAGACACTAACATAAATAGGTAGAAATGTACCCTCTAGCATCCTTAAAAAAGTGAATGAATGATGAGAGAGTGCAAAGAGGTAATAGCAAAACTCGGATCTTTTCTCCAAATCTTGCCTCCCATTCCCCCTCTCAGGCATAGAACTCCAAATGAGACAGGCCATAATCTTAGTAGGGCTGCCAATATTAATTTCTTCCCAAAACAAAGTGCTAGGACTGGGAAAGAGCTGGGACAGAGAACCAAAGAGAGAACCTTGGGTGTTCACCGCTGTTGCTCGTTTGTTTACAGAAGCTGGAAAAGGTGCTTAAGAATAATTGCTGGAGAGAACAGCCACCTTTCTTGCAGCAGAAACTGCACACTTCCACTCTTCCTTCGGCAGCCATGGGAGTCAGCCAGGCTTTGCAGAGCTTTTTACAAAAAGGGCTGTCTTTTAATGAAGGAAGAATGAAGAGGTTGGAGGAAAATTTGGTATAGGGAGGAGGTGGTTAATGAAAGACAAGTATTTATCTTCTCCAGGTAATTTACAAATAAATACATCTGTCCACTTAATTGAGTTCCCTAATCTGCGTTCTCTCAGTTTTGCTGCTTCAGTTACCAATAGTGAACAGCTAGAAAGAAGAGCCTTGAAATATTGAAAGCAACACCAGTTTAATTATTCAGTTGCGTTAAAAATAATAAAACCAATTGTTTATATTAAATTCTCAGTAGAATACAAAGTGTACTTTCAAAAGTAATACATTTTGAGACTGTTCAGCGATGTTAGAAATAAATATAATATTGACTATTAAGAATTCTGTTCATACTACATTAACTTTTGTTGAGTAGGGTTTTATATTAAATGAAATAGTTCACACAAAGATACATTTATGATATGAAAAAAAATCACTTTTTTATGACTCTCTGAGAGAATACAAAGAAGTTTCCTTAGTTTTTACTTTTTCTTGAATATTCTGTACAAGAAGACAACTTGACAGAAAAGTGGAAGGGAAGTGGAAAGGCATCCTGATCGTAACTCAGTACACACAAAGTTAAACACTTCCCACAACAGCCCTTGAAGAAGAGCTGTTTTGTGTCCAAGGAGCAGTTCTGCATCAAGACTTAACTTTAAAGGATCCCATGCAGGCAGAGGGTCTCTGTCCTGCTCCATCTTCTCGTAATGCTAAACCTGGGAGTGATGCAGGGAGGGGGAAGCACTCAATCAATGACAACAAGAAAGCTAACCCATCACTCAAAATTTATTCCTAACATAAGAAAAGATAACTTAAAAGCCAGAAGAAATATTTTCTGTTACTACTTGTCATTGCAATACACTTGAAAACTTATATATATAACTTTTTCCCTCCACTGTTTTCTGTCGTTAAACTGAATGTATATACTTTTAATGCGTTAAGACCAATACTATTGCTATTTTAGCAGAATAATAATTTATGATAAAATACTGTCATGCTTAGAATAACATCCTTTAATGATCAGTCTTCATATTGTATGGCACAGCTCTTTCTAATTAGATCAGCTCTTTCCAAAAGCTTCTAAAACAGAAAAGAAAACAAAGGGCTCTGGGGCAGAAAGATTTACATTCTCAAAAGGAGACTACAGATGTAAAACAAAAGGTGAAATGTGAGAGGGGAACAGTGGTTCTGTTTCTAAATATTTTTTCCTGCATGATTCATCATTTTCCCTTCTAGTCTTTCTTTTCTATTGCTTTTTTCAGTCTCTGCATTTGCAGGGTTTTACTATTTGTTATGCCCAGTCATAGCGGTGTCTGCAATATAACTTCATGGCATTCCTGATTTGAAGCATATGAACCTTAGACAAAATGCTGCTCATCTGTTTCTTGGCTGACGTGAAACAGGAAGACCACAGAGGGCTGTTCTCATTTGTCTGTCACAGAGCAAATGGGACACAACTGTGTCTCCACACATTTTTCTTTTATTAACCATAGATGGTTAAGGAGCTTCAAAACCTTCTATGGACACCGTGATACAGGATGATCTGGTGTGAGGCTCATCTTATTCCTGTGCGTGGGGTTACGTCCTAATGGGAAGTCTGCCCCACTGCATGGCTGCCACCTAATGAGAGCTGTCTACCAAGATCCCCTCTGTTACAAGCCCAAGCATAATATGCTGGGCAATCAGTCTGTTGGTGATGTTCACAAGGCAGTGCTGTGATTATCGGCTGTGGGGATGTCTAGCAGAAAATGTGCTGAATGCAAACCCTCTAAAATTTTATATTCCCTCCTTGGCCTTTCTGGAAATTTTAAACATACATGTTAGTCTTTTCCTAAATTCATTTGTGTAGGTCTTTTCTTCAGAATGAAGAGGCTTGTGTCCAAATGGGGCCACATCCCTAGCTAGTGTATATGCACAGTGAAAACAATGAATGTGAAAAATAGCTCTGGCTTTGCTAGAATACATTGTAGGTTTAAAACTGTGCATCAATTGTCAATTAGATGAGTTCAAACATGCCCCATTTGTGTCTGTCACCATGGACTGTGACAGCCGTCACTGTAGTCTGTAATTCTGCCATCACTTTCATCTGCTTTAGTTATTCTACCTGTTTCTGAATTTTTAATCCTCTTTTTGACAATTCTAAGTAATTTTTTTTTCTGGCGCTTTAATTAGCAGTTTTGCTTCCCAGTGAATTACTTGCTGACTGAATCATGCAATCCTTCACTTGACAGCAAGGGTGTAAACAAAGAGAATTTTGAGTAACAGTCAAAACTGCAGCATTGCCGCTACGTTATAAAAACTAGCTTCAAATATGAGATGGGAAAAAAAATAAAATAGGAGTTTTAGATATCATTAATGCTGTAGTTGGATCCTGTATCAGTAAAATAATTCTGTCATTCACTATGGAAAGATAACATTTACTCTTAAATACTTATTAAATAATCTTTTGTAAGCCAGTGCTACGTACTGTCAGAATTGTTAGATCGTGTTGCAGGTTGGGAATGCTGCTACAGCATTCACATGGCATGTTCTTCTAACTTGCAGCACTTAGTTCCATGACAGTTGAGTCACAGAAGCTAAAATGACCAATTTAGTGTCTAGAATAAAGTCATGCTATTACCATACCCATTGCATTAGCACTAGAGCTGAATGGCCACACTGTGCAGCATAATAACATCTAATGAAAACCTTCAGCTGCCACGAATTTTTCACATTGCTGTATTTTCATTACCTTTGTATGATATTTAACAATTCAAGAACATTGAAAAAAGTCAGTGTTTTCAGAGAGCTGTGTATTTTTGGGATTTGGTGTTCTTTAAACATGTGTGCAGATATTTGATTGTGCTCTTCGTCTCTGGAATTTACTTTAGAGTTTGGTGTGAATTACTTTCAACGTATGTCTGCAATAAGTGAACTGGCTATTTTAAGGATAATGCATGTAGTTTTTTGGGGATGTGTGAGATGTGCAAACAGAAAATTATCAAAAGTAGAATACCTATTATGTAGTATTTTTCTTGTAAAATTTATTGATAAGTGAATTCCATGCAAATAGTTTAATTTGATTTAATGTAAAAATACAAACAGTAGATTAGATGAGAGAAAAGAGACATTTTTAAAAAACATGATTATAGGCTGAGCTTAATCATTATTTTTCAATGTGAAAAATCACTAAGATAAGTACATTGAGATTTAGTGAGTTATTCACATGTGTTTGAAGTTAAGCTCATATTTAAGTGTCTTGCTGAACCAGATGTAAAAAAAAAATCTGGTAAGGGCAGTTTTTCAAAGTAGAAATTAAAGTGGAAGGATTTTATTTATTTATTTGTACATGAGAGGCTTAGTTAGTCCAAAAGGATTAGAAACAAACTTACAGCAATATATGGAAATATCAAGTTACAGACCCAATGCCAAGAAATATGATTACATCAAAGTTCAAAACACTTCTGCTAAATTATTAAATTTTTAAAAAATATATATTTTTTTAAAATAATTAAGATGCTTTTGGAGTTTGATAATATCTCTTTACACTTTGTTTTGGAGAGAGTATGATGAACATGTTTGTTTTTCAGTGAAGACAGAATAATTTCTAATTAAAAACTGTTATATAAAATAAAATAAAATACAAAATAAAAAAAAATAAATGTATCTTTCCATGCAGCATTTGTGTTCAAATATTGAAATAATCCATCTGATAGCTTACTTTATGAGTTTGAAATTAATTGAAAATAGTTATGGAATTGCACATATTTTCATTATATAAACAGAGAGTAATTAAAAATTTAAATAAAGAGCATATAAGATAAAAAATAATTAATTTCAATCATTATAAATTGCATGAATCGCAAGAAAAGAAAATGTGTTCTGTTTACCTGGTAAGGTCCTTTGAATTGCTCAGTAATGATGAATTCATTTGTTTACCAGAAATATGGGATGGCTCCAGTTGTGTGTTGTTAGTATTTGCATATTAAACAGCTAAGCTCAGTCAATGCATTATGGAGCACTACCTCTTTGATGCATCATAACTTTGCATTTTCATTCCTTGCAGAAGGGAATCCATATACCTGGTGGGTTGGAAAAGCCAATGAGAAGCACTACTATTGGGGCGGATCAGGACCTGGCATTCAAAAATGTGCCTGCGGCATCGAACGCAACTGTACTGATCCCAAGTACTACTGCAACTGTGATGCTGATTATAAGCAATGGTGAGTGGTTTACAAAGTGGTAGGATGAGAATGACCAAATCTCTTCACTTTTACAACACTGTCATTACTTTGAATATCTCTTTTTTCTACATTTCCTTTCTTACCAAAGAACAAAGGCAAAAATATTATATTTGTGACCCTCCTGCAACGTTACCTATCCATGTCTTCATTTCCATTTTATTCACAGTATCTGTGACTGTCAAATATAAGGACTACTATATTTATGTTTTCAAGCCCACTGAGCTATAGAAAAGAATGCTAGAATTGCAAAGGCAAGTTCTCACAAGAAAGGCCAGCATTTTAGCTGCCAATGTAACTTTGTCTCCATCAGATTCAGTTATATTACAATACAGTACTAATTTTATCTCTACAACTTCATTTTTTTCCCCGGAATTTCTCCTTTTTGTGGTGTTGTTGCTGCATTTGAATGTGAGAATATGAATTCAAATCACTCATCTATTGCCTCTCACCCTCATTATCCATCTTTCATGAGAAAAATGTGTTAAGAACTAGATGTATGATAGAACAAGGCTCTGTATTTTGAAGGAAGCTATTGGACTTTTGTACTGAGGAGCCCAGAACTGGACTCAGCACTCCAAGTGTGGCCTTACCAGAGCTGAGCAGAAAAGGGTAGCCTCCCCTGGCCTGCAGGCAACACTTTGCCTAATATATCCCAGGTTAGCATTGGCCTTCTTGGCCTCAAACGCTCGTTGTTGGCTCATGTTCAACCTGATGTCCACCAGGACTCTCAGGGCCTTTTCTGCCAAACTGCTTCCCAGCTGGGTGGCTCCCAACACATGCTGGTGCATGGGGTTGTTTTTCCCCAGGTGCAGGGCTTTACACTCTTTGCTGTTGAACTTCATTGTATTTCTGTGTACCTCTTTCTTCAGCTTGTGAAGATCCCTTTGAATAGCAGCATGACCCTCTGGCGTATCAACCACTGTTCCCAGTTTGGTGTGATCTGTAAGAAAGAAGTGTGAAAAATACAAAATTAGAGTAATAAAAGAAATCTTTCAGGCCATGAAAAAATTATAGATTAAGATGTGGAAAATCAAATATTTCTAAAGACATTGCCTCCCAAAGCTTTGACATTATTAGAATAGTTTGTTGTTAGTTATGATATGGGGTGAATTATAGAACACCACAGAGATAGAGAAGTCAATATTAGAGACAGGGGAATCAGACATGCTGTCAAAGTTCAGAGGTAGAATTATACACAAAGTGAAGAATATAAAGTCAGAGGACTCCAACTCAAGTATAGGCACTGGAGCAATGTGGCAGGAGGGAGGTAGGTTTGGTTCTGTGTCAAAATGGTAATGATAAAAGAAAGATATTGTAATAATGATTACAATAATGGTAGAACTAGGAGCACTTACAATTTTCATTGCCTGGGGCACTGGATGCATATCCATGAATAATGGTCTCTGTACCATATGTTGAGTGTTTTCTTTTACACTAAGGGAAATGTGTAGGGGAAATAGCATTGACTTTTGATCTCTTCTTAAAGACTCTCAAAGAGTCACAAATGGCAATTTAATAAGCAGTGTTCTCTAAATAATCTTTTTCTGTAACCTCTACATCCCCATATACACCAAGATTATCTGTATTCTACCAATAAATTGATTCGTACAATTATTAGATTTAAGTCTAAGATAGGGTTGCCATAAAAGATATTCAGCTGTTTACTCAGAATTCATACAAGAATATATTTATACAGTATTTCTCTAAATACATATCATAATTTTTTCAGGACAACTACAGTTTATTACAGGACTGTTCATGAAAAGTAATTATACAACTGGGTATTATATTCTAATCTGTGGTGTGTGTAAATCACAGGAAGAAACAAATGACTTATTATAGTCTTAAAGGGCATTTTGTTCAAAATTCATATTTTCAGTTTGGTTTTGGCAAAATCTAGTCCTTTCCATAGTCATACCTTTTGAGTTTGAGAGTTATTTTGAGAAGTCCTACTTAGGAATTTTATCTAGCCAGGTTGATCAATATCTAAAAAGCAAGTGAGCTTCAGAGCAGAGAGCTTGATGACTTCAAGCATCAGGGCCAGAATATAAGCAGGGCCTCCAGCAAGGATGTACTCAGTTCTAGTGACAGCAAAACAGCTGCCGGTTTAGACCACAGAATCTGCAACAGTTTATGATGAGCAGACAGGTCTCAGTTCACAGATTGACAAAGCAACTAGCCACAGCTGTCACTATAGCTCATCAGCACAACTAATTTTAGAAAAACTTACAGTCCTCAAACAGAAGGGCTGAGTAAAGGCTGAAATGGGGCTGAGAGACCAGGTGGGACTTTTGCCATAATTGCATATCTTATCCATAGCTGGGAGCACTGCATTAGATTTTAGTATGCATACAATGATGTTCTGCTCCTGCCCAGGTAATGTGGGAAAAGTTGTTTTGCATTATTTAGGGTTTGCAGGGGGAAGACAGAGTGGGGAGAAGTCAGTAGCCACAGCAGCAACTATACTAGAAAAGGTAAAGAAATAAAATGAGAAAAGAAGTCTGCTGCATGGAAATTGTGAAAATGAAAGGTGAAAAGGAAGAGTGAGATTCAGCACAGAGATTTTTAAAGGAGATTGGGGAGCCACTGAAAAGTGGCTCAGGCTGAATCAGAATGATGTAGTGTAAGTAGAATATTGTCCACAGTTTTTATTGTAGAAATTAGAAATTGTGTTAGAAATGAAGAAAGGAATTAGTTTGATGAATCATCTCATAGCAAAACTAGGAGAATGCTCCCCTGGAGAACTGGATTCTAACCCTGCCTCTGGAACCACATTCCTGCATGATGCTTCTGACGTTTCGTAAGCCATTTCTTCACAGAACAGTCAGTAGTTTAATCCTCATTTTCTGGGGATCTAACTGAAAACCCAGAGGTCTACTTTGTGCAATTACCAAACATTCACAGCTGCAACCAGAATAAGGGATCATTCTCTCTCAATGTATCTATGCCATCCTTCAAAGAAAAAAAAAAAGCCTGCAGGAATCTCAGTTTGAGCACTAAGTATGTGTTCTCAGCCTCAACATCCAAACTGTAGAATGGAAATTATGCCAGATAGTAGCCCATGGAGGTATTGCAAAGCTAAGTAGATATATGAAGCAATCATCTGCTGTACTAATGAGCACTATAAAAACTCCAAAGAGAAAAAGCAGTCTTTCTAGAAAGATTTGAAATAACACATTAGACATAAAATGGGATTTACATATTGAAGCATGCGAATAAATTTGGAGAGCAAGCAGTGTTTTACGAAGTGAGTATTGTCTGCCTCCTATACTGAACAATGCTGGAGCCCCCTGGAATAAATAATAATCAGTGACAAGTCAAGGACTGTATCACGGTGATAGGTACAGGATACAAATTAAAGCTCTTTAGGCAGGCTGAAGTGCTTCTTTTTCTTACATTTTGTGTTTGGTTTGATTTGAGTTTTTTAACCAAGTATGTGAGTAATTTTGTGTAAGTATAGAACCAGCTGTGTTAATCATGGGCTCAATTACAGTGTAACTTTTCCCAGGCGTTAGCATACACCATAAGCTTGATAAACCTTGCATCTGGACAGTTGTTCTATTAATGCTTTTTAAAATTTCACTGAGCAACTTTACACTTGTCTATTTGAATAAAATAGTTGTAGAGCTATTTAGCACATGCCTAATGTGTTGATTATCATACCTAGATAGTAGATAAGCCAAATGGTATATATTGTCAGTGATATGTAATTCAAATTTATGTGTATTTGCACACATCATCTAAAATAGAACCATATTCTTAAAAGAAACCCATGTTGCTACTGCAATGTAAGTATTAAGTAATCATTTTTGTCATGATAAAGAAACAAAAACATAGGTGGGAAGAGCTACACCCAGAGTAATCTTGCCAAAATTATCCTTAGTCCAAAATTATCCTTGACTTGTGTCCAAAATGAAATTAATTCAGAGTTAAATGATTCAGATTATATAAAAAGGTTAGTTTTTGCTTCCTAACAAAGATAATTTTTTAGAGAGTGTGTTGGTGACATTCAAAGTCAGATTGCCTCATCCTGAGAGAATAAAATCTACTAAGGTAGTTGTTATTAGTAACAAGAGTTTCTCTGGGTTCCTATTAAACAAAATCATAATCATATGAGTAATTTTAGGTAAAATGTAGGGCTTTAAAAAAAAAAAAGGCTTATTTGAATAAAAACATTATTATTACAATTTAAACAGTTCCTTAAAAAAATGGCTGGCATTGTAGAGACACTCACACTGTACCAATTCTGTATCAATTAAGTAGCAAGTGTAAAGATCTGCAAAGCAATTTTGATTCCTAATCTCCTTTGACCCTAAAGTCACTCAGATTGGCCAAAGTTTCTACACCACAGGCTCCTTACTTTTTATTACATAGCAATCACAGTAGGTCTGAAGACATAATATGATACTGTTCAAGGATTTACTCAGAAAAAGTGCCATAAGAATCTCATTTAGCACTTCGTGATGTGAATGCACTTCAGCAATCTACTGATACATATACTAAGCAAGCACGAGCTCTGATACGAAATAATCTAATTAATATACTATGGGGTAAGCACAGGTAAAAGCTCTAGCCTAAAAGCAGCATTTAACACAAGTAGAGCACATTTCTCACCCAAGGCGTCACTCTGGGGGGTAGAGAAGATGGACTCAGCCCGTTGACTGATCCCAGCAGTGTCAGTGGAGGTCTCCCACTTCCACCCTATCTCCAATACTATTTTCTTTATGTTTGGGTGGAGTTTGAGTGACTCTAGTCAAAAATACTTTTCATTTCCAGTTGATGTACCTAATGAGGGGGTGATGTTTGTAGTTGATGTTTGTGGTTTGGCACCTGAGGAGGGGGTTTGATATGGTTTTTGGCTTCAGCAGCAGAACATCTTGATTCTCCCTTATCAGGCATACTGTAAGGTCTTAGTACTGCAGTGTTCTCCCATTCTGCTGGGATTAGAATGGAGGGGGACCACGTAGTCTCCACTTTGT